AGCTTTTTCACTATCTAAAGCCACTAGTACCGTTTGCAGGTTATGTGTTGCCTCTTTGGCACTATGTACGATTCTAATAACCTGTGCCACTGTACTGTGTCCGCTTCTGAAACCGTACTGTTCCCGCGGAATAATTTTTAGTTCATCTTCTATTTTGTTGAGTGTGTTTAGTATGATTTTGTCGACTATTTTTGCTACTGTGTTAAGCAACGAAATGGGTCGATAACTGTCAATGTTTTTCGGGTTTTTTCCCGATTTTAATATTGGGATGATATTTGCGATCTTCAGGCTGCTAGGATAGTGTTGCAGCCTGAAGATTGCGTTTATTATATAGTTAAGTTGTACAACCCCTTTTCTTGAGAGGTTTTTGAGTAATATATTGCTGATGTCATCCGGGCCCGGAACTTTTCTATTTTTCAGACGTTTAATAGTTTCCCCAACCTCTTTAGGAGTGGTAAAAAATGAATGTGGCACGTGTACCGGCTCAGAAGTGCTTAGTTCCCTTACCAAGTTTTCGATATTATTTTGGACATCATTATTAATGTTATTATTTCTAAATATCGTTTGAAAGTGTTCGCCGAAGGCTTGTCCTTTTTCGGCGTCTGTTGTGCATAAGTCTTGTCCTTGTTTCAAAGTGGGTAGCAGTGAGTATGGTTTTTTGTACCGTCTCACTACTTTCCACAGTGAATTGTCATTTGGATTGATTTCTGACAGGGTTTTTTGCCAAATATTATTTCTATGTTCATTAATAGCTGTGTTGATATATTTCGCTATGTCCATGAGTCTAACCCTGTCTTCGTCTCTCCTGTGTAGCTGCCACCGTTTTCTGATTTGGTTTTTGTTAGTTATTAGTTCAATAATTTCCGGTGGCAGTGTGTCTTTGTGTTGTGTTGTCGTTTTGATTTTAGTCGAGTCGTCTCTAGTTTTTTGTACGACTGTTATGAAGTTTTTTGTGATTTGTTCTAGTTGTTGTGTGTTCGTTATGTTGTTGTTTAGTGTTAATGTTTGGTCAATTTTTCGTCTGCAAGTGTCCCAGTTCGTTGTTTTGTAATCAAAGTATTTTTTTTGTATTCTGTTGATTTTTTGTGTGGTTCTTATTTCCAAGTACACTGGATCGTGGTCCGAGCTTAGTGTGCTGATGGTCCTGATGTTTTGCACATCCAGTATATTTTTCGTGACTGCAATATCCAGTGTACTTGGGGTTGAGCCGTTGTATGGGGTACATGTTGGTTCGTCCATGTAGTGTATAATGAGTTTGTTCTCTGCGGCGAAATCTTTCAGCATATTTCCCGACGGGTTGGCATTTGTGCAGTACGCGTCCCATTCGGGGTGTTTACTATTTAAATCTCCTGCTAGAAAAACTCTGGTACCTTTTACCATCAGCGCATGCATGTCTGCATTGAGGATTCTCCTAGCGGGGAGGTTGTAGGCCCCAATTATAATATAGTTTAAGCATTTTATGATAACGTGCTCTATGTGAGGTGAAATGTTTGCGTTTGGTAGTTGTGCAAATTCAAGGGTTCTATTGACTAGTATAGCGACCCCTCCCGCTGCTTTTTGTCTTACGTTTTGTATGTTTTGTGCCGGTCTATCTTGTCTGATGATGTTATAGTCCCTAATTTTGATTCATAAACCCTTCTTCATTGCACCATGCAGTAGCCATCGTTCCATCTAGCCAACTTTTTCTGTCACTTTCCTTTCTATATACCCACGTCTCATCCATAAATACAGGCTTAAAGTTACTCAGCTCTATCTCCTTTTAAAATTTTTCAAAAACGACATTTTTTTAACTGTATCGTTGTTTGTTTCAATAAAAACTGTCTGTTGTTACTTCTATTGAAGTGAAAGCCAATTTTTTGAATGCATGTATTAATTGACTGTGCAGGACATTTCACATCAGGCATTTCTTCAGAAAAACGTTTATGTAACAATTTTTTTTTATATTTATATAATATGTACGTATTTAAATTTAGTTTAATTTAATTACAATGGATGTTTACAAATTTTTGGAAAAATTATAAATTAAGTTAAGCACTTGTATGTGCTAAAAGTAATGGTAGTAAAATTATAAATTATATTTCATCAATGCTTCGGCAAACAAATAAAATAATATAAAATATAGAGTAAGATATAAATTATTAGGCAGAAGGACTTCGGTCGATAGCCTATTGGACTGAATTTTCAGTTCAATAAATGACAATTATTATTATTATTGTTATTATTATTATTATTATTATTATTATTATTATATAAATAAAAAAAAAAAACTTCATAATTATATACACATTTATACATTTACAAAAACAGAGAAACGAATGATCTAGAGTTCATCTTTATATGCATCAATATTAGATGTGATATACAGTTTTAATTTCTTCTGAAATAACTTATTTTTTTTTAAATTCCCCACATTGGTAGGCAGAGTATTAAAAACTTTGGGAGCAACATAAGTTATAAATCTTTAACTTGCATCTCGTTGAACTGCTGGAGTTCTCAAATTCTCATTTAATCTGGCTCTTGTGTTGTGCAAATGATTTGTAGTGTCTCTCAATTCAGGCTTTCCATAAATAAAGTTACAAGACATATAATGTTCTTGTTCTTATACAAAGCACTGGTTTTATTATATAAGAGGGGTATGATATAATGCTGGTTTTTTGTAAATACTTTCAATTATACGATTTTGGATTACATTAAGGGGTTGAAGTGCAATATCATATAGTCCACCCCATATTATTATAATACCATATCGGAAAATAGATTCAACCAATGAGTTGTAAATAATAATTAGTAAACTCCTAGTCATACATTTCCTTAACTCATAAAATTTAAAAATAAATCTTCTAACTTTGGTTCTTAATGACTGAATGTGATTAACTCATTTCAATTTTTGATCAATTATAATAACCAAGGTATTTTGTTGTATTTTTTATTTTAATTATAAAGTTGTCATTTATTTGTATGTTGAAAGAATGCCTATTAACGTTAGTTAGCGAAAATGCTAGGAAAGAGATTTTAGATACATTTAGAGAGAGTTTATGAATATCAAGCCAGTTTTTGATTGTTTATACCCGTTTTAGTTTTTTGTTTGACAGCTTCCCAGCTATTATTTTGAAATACAATGACAATATCATGTGCATATGAAAGTATCGAACCATTTATTTGAGTTTTTAACGTAGTTTTGATGTAAATAATAAATAAAGTTGGACCAAGAACCGTTCCTTGGGGCACTCAGATTTTATATTCTAACCATTTGCTTCCTATTTAACAGATAGTTTTTGAAAAGATATAATACAGAGCCCCTCACACCATAGTGTTGCAACGCATTAGGAAGTAATTGATGAGGCACTGTTTCAAATGCCTTTGTTAAGTCCAAGAACACTGCAATACATTTATCGCCCTTATCCAACAAAAGTTTAATTCGGTTGACAAGTTCGAACATTGCATCCCTGGTGCTAAACCCAGGTTTAAACCCAAATTTAATTTTCACTCAGAATGTTATTTTTGTGTAAATAGTCATACGTAGTTTAATGCATTTTTCAATTTTGTTTGCAAAAGTATTTATAAGGCTGATGGGTCTGTAGTTAGCTGTTATTTTTGTTTCCATTTTTGTACATAGGCACAACTATTGATATTTTAAACTGTTTCGGTATAATGCCAGTCAGAAATATTAAATTTATTACATGTGTAAGTGGGTATATAAAGTGATTATAGTTATGCCGCGTTTGAGAATCCACATCGGATGCATCTGAGATGTAGTAAATCTTTGATCACATGATTCAGTATACGTAAATGTAATGCGACAGATGTGTCCGATGTGGATAAAAAAACGCTCATGATGTAAAAAATGCATCGGATGTGGATTTTCAAACGCGGCATTATTTTTAATCAGTTTTGTAGTGATGCCGTCAATTCCTGATGAGCTATCGTTTTTTAAACTTTTAATATATGACGCAATTTCGCTTTCATCATTGTTACGCATCTTCGTACATCTTATATATAACTTGTATTAAATTACTTAATATTAAAGAATTGAATTTTGTTTTACTTTGACTTACTTTTTAGGACATTATTTTCACATAATCTGTATCAGAACTTGTTGGTTTACCAAGTCTACAGATAGTTTTCTGCAAAATATTTAATTAATTAATCTACAATATCACCAGATCTTGACCAAACTTGGAACCAACCCTGAGGTACCCCCTCTCTAACAAAAAAATAATCTTAGAAATCGGACAAGGTGGTAAAGAAGTATCACTGAACAAACATGAAAAGATTAAGAATTTGATGATTTTCTCATGGATCCAATAATTAAATCTTGACTAAATTTACATGGAACCACCCCTGAGGTGACCCTTTTCTAACAAAAAAAGAATCATATAAATCAGACAATGTTATAAATAATTATCAATGAACATAAAAAAAGAAGAGTCCGAGGAATTGAAAACCTCTTCCATTTTTTAAAGTTTGTTAACAATTTTGCTGTTGCGGAGAATTTACGCTTTTTTATTAAAAATGTGTATTTCTACCGGAAGATGCATCCATGATGACATTGATACAAATGTATTTGAAACCTGGTTTTAAACTACTCTTTCGCATTTAGAACAGAGATTAGATAACCCATCAGTTCATACTAGATACTTTAAAAAAAGCTGAAATATTCGATTGCTCGAAAACGAAAAATATATATTGAAAATATGTTGAAAGCCAAATTACTTAGTAATGCCCTATTGCACAAGGAAAAAAATTATTAAATTTGCCACTGCAGATTAAATACGAATAAATTAATATCAGCCCAAGTAAAAGACAAAAAGGAGAAAAAATGCCACTTTCAAGTTGGCAGACGAAAAATACTGTTTTATATTCATTTACTATTAATATTTAGGGTTTTATCATTCATTGACTATATGATATGTATTCTATATTATTGTACCTATGTTTTTACATCAAGGTTTTTAATGGGTTCCGACCCGTACTTTTCTAAAATAATTAAAACTATTTACCTAAATTTGAAGCACTTGCGCTAGACAAAACCACAGTCTGGGGCGCGACCCCGATATTATTCACTCCACTAACCGAACTGCCACCAGCTGCCTGAGTCACAGTATTTGAAGTATGTGTTGCGGTAGTAACAGGTAACGACACTATCAAACTGGTCGGATGCCCCTGTATGTTGCCCGTCGACGAAACGTTCAAAGACAACGAAATGGGCTGCGAGAACCCCGGCAGCTGCACCTGAAAGCCCGGGATACTTTGCAGCTGCGCGAAATTCAACCCCTGCACGTTAATGGTACCCCCCGTTTGTGGCGGGGGACTAGACATGGGGCTAAGTACAGTACTTCCTTTGGGGGATTGAACCATGAATTGTTGATTCCCCTTGGGGCTCTGAATGAAATGGGTGGGTTGTGAGTTGTTAGGGGAACCCCCGAGCTTCTCTAATAGCAAAGAGTTCGTATTGGGCCCGATGATATCAGGCCTGTCGGCCGCGGGGGTTCCCACCAACAGTGCCGATAGCGCTTTATTTTCACTAGAACTGTTCCCTATTATTCTTTGATTCACCACTTGTTGTTTGATCGGCACCGAAGTGAAATTAGAATAATTGCTGCTGTTAACGGACGTCAACGTTATAGTCTGTGGTTGCTGCTGCCCCAGTCCCAACTGTTGCTGCAAATCCTGCAAGTTCATGCGATTGTTGTTGATCGCTATTACGTTGTTGTGAGTGAGCACGCGCGCGTTCGTCACGTTCGGTATAGTCATTTTGCGCGCTAGAATTTTTTGGTTTATAGTCTGTAGCTGTTGAGGTAATATTTGGGAATTGTTTATAGCGTTCACAACCGCGTCCGTGTTCACGTTTGACGCCGGCGAACTATTTAGCAAATTCAATATGGCTGTGTTGCTACCCGTTAGTTTCTGTTGCTGTTGTCTTTGTTGCTGCTGCTGTTGCTCCTTTTTCGCGCTCTCTGGAATTAAGGAGAAAAACAAAATAAACATATGGATCATTATGTGCAGCAGTGATATATTCAGAACATACCTGCTTGGAACTTTTGCGCTGAATTCATCAGTTCCGTGGCCAGCGCGCTAACAGCCTGTTCTTGAGTGGAAGGTTTCGGTGGCCCTTGCAAGTGACTTTGCTGCAAATAAAACAAACAAAAAACGGTTTGAAAGTCCCATCAATCCAAAATCGAACTCGGCTTACCAATATTGGGACGTTGGCAGTAACCTGCACTTGATTGTGCATCCCAGTACTACCAGCGACGGTTCCGTTTATCACAGGTGCCGTTTGATTTTGCAACGATTGCGTCAAGCGTGTCAGGTGTTGCTGAGGCAAATTGGGTTGGTTAGCGCTTTGAGCTTGTAGCTGCGACCGCGCTTGCGCCTGCGCTTGTGCTTCTCGTTCCTTATACCTCGGACTAATTCTGAAATAATGATCGGTTTTTAAAGAAAATAGGTATAAAAGCCACTTTATTTTCATAAATACAATTTTAGGCCAGGTAAAATTTCGGCAATATATATCTTTATCGGTCTGCGGCCTCTTGGGTCTATTTTATTCCCCTGCTTTCCCCGTATTCAGGTAATATCTTTGGAATAATCCTGTGTATTTGTTTAGTTTTAATAGGTTCCCTACCAAGTGTTCTTGGGGCGTTCTTTCCGGTTCTAGGCCCAAAAGGATGAAACGCCGCCTTGTAAGAGCTTCGCATTCGAAGATCACATGGTATGAGGTTTCTTCCTCTTCCATGCAAAAGTCTACACGTAGTGGGATCATTGTGTAATCCCATTACATGAAGGTGTTTCAGCAAGCAGTGCCCTGTTAGTAATCCCACAATGGTGGATATCTGAGGCCTTGCGAGTTGTAGTGCCTGAGTAGCCATGCGTGGGTTTGGTCCCCTTAGCATGAGCTTACTGATTCTGTGCCCTCTTATCTGTTGCCAGTGAATTTGGTGTTCTGTAGTTATCCACCTGTTCACTGCCTGTCGAGCAGAGATTTTGTTTATCTCAAATGCAGGTTCGGTTCTGTGAATGGTAGATCTGATCCCTCTTTGGCGAGTTCATCAGCCTTTTCATTTCCTTGGATACCTTTGTGCCCTGGTACCCACGCTAGTTTTACGCAATATATATAGGAATGAGAAAATAGAAAAAGGAAATATGTAAACAATGAGAAATATCGAAAAGACATAGAAAAGAAATGTTTCTCTTAAAAATAATTAATAAGTAATTAAAATTGAGAAGTCAGGTGTATTTAAACTTTAAAATAATTTGTTGTTAGTTGTTACTTTGATATATATTGCAAACTGACGTCATCTATCAATATGTCAATGAATGTATGGAGCCTAGGAGCATTTACTGACAAAGGGAACATGCCTTCTTTAAATAAATAGTAGCTGCCGCTAACAAACATGGAGTAGAAGACACCATCTGCTAGTGAATAGAAGACATGTTACTCAACGGCAAGTACAGGCACAAATTTTCTGTAAAACCATACAGGTGAATATTCACAGAGAATGCCCACAGGGTGAAGTCCTTTCTTATGTACTGTTTAACCTGGTGGCACAATCTTCGAACTCATGCAAAAAAGTCTATATTTTCAAAGGAGTACAGTAGATTTATTATTTTTGTATAAAGTAATTTCATTCAATTTAGAGTACTAGTAATATATACTCATCAAAATGATTTATTCTTCAATCCATTTCACAGAACTAATTATGGCTTATTCAGTCCTCTAACAAGAATGCAAAGAAGTGAAAATTCATTCATTCTGTGTACATCTTTCAACAATTTTAGAAAAGGTGTAAGAAATAGACTCGCTTGATATTTTGAATATTTTTATTTATTACTAATGATTTTTTATTGATATTTGTTATTTTGTAATAAAAAATGGACTTATTTATTGGTGTTTGTTTTTAAAATGCAAATTATCTTTTGTATATTTTTTTTATTATAATCCCGTATGTTCAATAAATAAAAAATAAAACATGATTTTTGAATGCCAGTTTGTAAACTTTCGGGACTGAAATAGCGTAAAGTAAACTGAATGGAAAGTACTCTTCATTTTTGATATCCATATACAAATGATTTGCTAAAGGTATACCGAGAAAGAGCTATATAAATAAATTAGAAATAAACAGATTACTTACCTATAACTAATTCTAACTGACTTCCTCCCACTTTCAGTGAAGATCTCCGTAAATTGATGAATATATCTATTAGCGTTAGCTCTAGAGCCCAGTGAAAACCTACACGCCACGCCGTTTTGTTCGTTTTTTTTGTGATCCCTGTCTAAATACAATTCCCCCAAGTATTCGGAATCAGAAGGCCGCTGCAGAATTGACAATTTTATATGGTACACTCTCGGGCTACCCTTGTCCTTCGATGGCATATCCGTTTCCAGAATATACTCTTCGATGAGCTGGGGACTGCAGTCTATATTCTCTTCGACGCTTTCGTCCGCCCTTTCTTCCGCGGTCTCGTCCTTGTTCTTCTCTGGTCTCTCGTATGGTTTGAACACGTTGATGACAACCTCTTGGGGCGGCGCGAGCAACGGCGGTTCCAAGCTCGGAATCGGCTGCGGTTTCAAATCGTCCAGGCTCATTTTCAGCGGTCTCGAGGTTATGTTCGCCAGGCCACCAGCGCCGACCCCTATCTTTGGTTTACTTTTGACTCTAGAGAGAAATTCATAGAACTCTAAGCCATGCCTGTGAGTGAACTGATCCAATTTTCGTTTTCTGTTGACCGTTACTTGGGAGTACTTCTTGGCCATGCGTCTGAATTTGTGGGTGTTCCACATCCGTCGACGGTTGTAGATTTCCGTGACTTCTTCGCCTATAGAGGTGTCTGGGTCTAGGCATAAGGACGGTGTATTGGCCATTAGCAGCTGGCATTCTAATTGGTCTTTTTCTTCGTTAGTCCAGTCTGGCCTTTCTTCCACTATGTTATTTATGTCTGCCATAATACTCTGAAATAGTTGGAAGATAAACATTAACTCAATTATTACCTTAGAAAGATAAGATAAACTAGCGAGAATTTCTGTAGCTGGTTTAAAGTATCTGGATCGGCTCTGGAGTGTGTGTCTGGAGCAGGTCTAGAGTATCTGGAGCAGGTCTGGAGTATCTGGAGAGGGTCTAGAGTGTCTGGAGAGGGTTTAGAGTGTCTGGAGCGGGTTTAGAGTGTCTGGAGAGGGTTTAAAGTGTCTGGAGCGGGCCTCAAGTCTCTGGTGTCAGTTTGTAGTCACTGGTGTCAGTTTGTAGTTCCTGGTGTAGGTTTGTAGTATCTGATGTTAGTCTTGAGTCTCTGGCGTAGGCGTATAATTGATGGGGAACGTCTAGATACACTGGAACGCGTGTATAGGGCTCTGTAAGAAGTCTATTGTATCCAAAGTGGGTCTAATTATTCTAGAGTATAGTGAATAAGGGTCTAATTTGTCTGAAAAGGGTTTGTTTTGTCTGAAAAGGGTTTATTTTGTCTGAAAAGGGTTTATTTTGTCTGAAGAGTTTATTTTGTCTGAAAAGGGTATAGTTTATCTGAAAATGGTATAGTTTGTCCGAAAAGGGTATAGTTTGTCTGAAAAGGGTATAGTTTGTCTGAAAATAGTAAAGTTAGTCTGAAATGGCTTATAGTTAATCTAAAAAGGGCCCAGTTTGTCTGAAAAGTATCTAGTTTATCAGAAACGGGTATAGTGTTTCTAGAAGGGGTATTGTGTTTCTGGAACAGGTAGTGTTTTTGGAGGTTATAGTGTCTGGAACGGGTATAGTGTGTGTGTGTGGAAGGGTATAGTGTGTGTGGAAGGGTATAGTGTGTGTGGAAGGGTACAGTGTGTCTGGAACGGCAAGTAAACCAGTAGTTATTAGTACCCTATATAAATGACAAAAAATACAAATGTTTAGTTGTGAAAGTGAAAAGTGAACTTACCCTGGGTGTAGGCCTAAGTAAAACATGATGAATATCACATTTGAATTGTGGATAAGCTTGTCTATAGTCTCTAACTTCAGCTATGATACATCCATTGTAAAAAAGGTAACTAAACTGCGATTCTAATAGATCTAAAATGAATGGTGGAAGTTCTTCGTTACCGATGTATCGAAGAAGGTCGTCCTCTTCATAAGGCCACAGTTCGGTTTCAATCATATTGGCAGTATCTTCGGTAAAATTGGAATCGCTACGGGACAACGTCCTGAATGCCAACGAGTAACCCTTGTTACCAGGATAAAGGTTTAAAATCATTGTGTTTAGTCTTTCTTTAACTACGAGTTTTTCTAACAGAAGAGGGATATATTTTGTTTCCTGAAATTGGTAAATTATACATAGTAATAACATATTATGCTCTTGTTTCTTTTCGAAGATTATTTAATAATAGCGTGTAAAAAAAAAACTATTTTATGAATTACTATTAAAGGATGTCAAATTAAATTAGGTTAGGTACTATTGTATGCGTTTATAATTTACCAATTTATCTCCTGGTTTCTCATCCTCTTCGTTCTCTTCCTCTTCATCATAGTCCCCGCAACCGCCATTTTCAGCTTCATATAATTCTAAGAGTTTGGCAAAAATGTCAATGGGAGGTTTGCCAGAGGGATTTTCAACGATTTCTTGTTGAAATGAACTCGATGCAGATGTCGTTGGTTCCTGGGGGCATAGCAGAGGTAAGGAGGGGCGGCTGGCTTTCAACCGTTTTACGGAACACTGAAAAGGGGAGCACTCTCATTTTTGAGTCGGAAAAAGATATCATATATCATAAAAAATATGTATGCTTAGACACAACTGTTTTCAGTAATTTTGAAGAAGAATTGAACCATATAATACTGCAACAAATATTTAAAACAATGGTATTAAATTACATAGAAAGTAATAACAATAAAAGATACATTGTACTTTAATTTATGTACCAACAATATTTATTTATCAAAATTATGTTTGTATTGAAGACAACAGCTCACAGCTTGATTCAACATATTATATCGACTTTTCAAAAGTTTTTGGTAGGGGCGACCTTAAAATTATTGCAGCATAAAATTGGTTCTGTAGGTTTTGGATGTTTGTTCCTGTTTTATTGAGCTAGATAATGTTAATAATAAGAAATAGGGTATTTTAAAACTAGTAAAATACAAGTAACATCTGATGATCCTCAAATATTCTGCGGGCCTTTATTAAGTATATGACTTCTTTGTTCATATTTTTTTTATTTTCAAACTGGTTTTAACAGTTAAAAAATCACACATCGAAACTTTTATTTCTTCTAATTCTTTTTAAGTGTCAGTTTGGATTTAATGCATAGCCTCACGGACATGACTCGTATATCTACCTTTGTCTGCCATGGCCTACTTTAGAAACATTTTTTGTGGATTCTTTATTTTAAACTTTTTAATCCACTGATCAAATATAATTTAGTTAACTGGAAATAGTTATGATAATTTACAATCATATAAATCACACAAACTTAAGTTAAAAAATATGTAGAAATCTATAATGCTTTATAGGGTATTCTTATAGAAGACTCTTGTCGATGGGCCACACTTTAAACAAAATTACCTACCCATTTTTTATTGATTATTGACAAAGAATTCTGTAAACTCATTCAACGTTCAAATGTCATTTTGAAAACTATGATTAACAATAATTGTTTATTAATAAAACGGCTTTAATATTTTATTTCGATTTAGTAGATTGTATAATTTATTATTATAACTAAAAAACATTTATTACACATATTATTTACAAAAAGACGTCGAAAAAGGTAAAATACAACATAAAATGCCATTTTTCTTAATACGTATTCCTTCTTCATGCTAAACGTAACAGCTTCAGAAAATTCTGTTAGGATATTAACTCTACACCTGCAGCAGCGATACTGCACAGAGCCCTGGCAAAAGGAAGAGTTGATACAGTTTTGGCATTAAAGAAACCAAATGGAAGCTTCACGGAGAGTGAGGAGGAAAGAGTTCGCCTCTTACTCGAAACTCACTTTCCTAGAAGCACACCTTTTCTAATAAGGGACACAACTAAGGTAAGCAGGCCCCCAAGAGAGGCCGCTGTAGTGGCCAAACACATATGCAGCAGAAATCGGTTAAAGTGGGCCTTAAACACATTTGAACCGTTTAAAACTCCAGGTGTAGATGGAATATTTCATGCACTGCTTCAGCGCGGGTGCAGAAGGAATTACTACCACACATAATCCGGCTATCCCGGAGCAGTCTGGAGCTGGGATATGTACCAGAGTCACCTTTATTCCAAAAGTAGGGAAAAAGGATACCTCACATCCTAAATCCTTCCGACAAATCAGCCTCACATCCTTTGTATTAAAAATAATGGAGAAGGCTGTTGATAATTTTATCAGAACGGAAGTCCTGGAGAGGGTGCCACTGCACCACAGCCAACACTCGTACCGAGCAGGAAGATCTACAGAAACTGCCCACGTACAGTTGACTGACGTAATCCAGGATGCACTGACAAACAAAGAATGATCAGGAACGGAGTAATCAGACGAAAGTCTACTTGCTTCAGAACTACAGTTTTGTGAAAAACTTCAAAACCACTGGGCTGGGCTGCAAGAAAGAATGGAGCCAAGAATCCATCGCGCTTGCAACTGAAAGACATGCTATTCAATGGTATATGGACGGTTCCAAAACCATAGAAGGAACTGGAATAGGAGTGATAAACCGAGAACCAAGCACTCCGAAAGCTTGGGGAAATACCCAAGCACCTTCCAGGCGGAAATGTGTAGCACTCCAGAATCCAAGGGCACTATACCTAGGAGGATATCAAATAGAAGAGGGATATTTATCTAACTTGAAGCCACTCCAAATCCGACACTTCCTTGAGTAGATAGGATTGGAAGGGTCGTTATAGGCATTGAGACATTTCCTTGGTGCATTAGCGACAGAAGGGGGCACAATAGATCTTTTAGGTTGCAGTGTATTAACACCCCATTCCCAACATAACATAATATCCCTTCTTCATCTTGCTTGATCCCAAAATTGCCTGCACGTCAACTCTGCGCATCTCTTTAGCAAGTGCCGCCAGTGGCGCACTAGAATGTTCAACAATAATTAATAATTATACGAGGTTCACAGTTTAAACTAATATTACATTTTAACTGTCTATTGTACAATTAGCCCTAATATCTATAATTTAATTACAATCATATAGTAAAATACATTTTAATAAATCCATATTAAAAAAGCATCTTTCAATATTTATCTATCTGTAAATCCTCAATTCGGAGAAAATAAGGATAGAGTTGGGCGATATCGTGATTTTTCAAAGACATTGGAAACCGTTCTGTGATTAGTAAAAATTAAACAAATCAAATATTCATTAATATTTTTCTGAGAAACATTTATGAAATCGACAAAAGAATATGTAAACAATGTAACTTACCGATATTTTTAAATATAAGTAATTAAATAACAGTCTGAAATATCGCCCAACACTAGGATTAATTAAAGTTTGTCCATCTGCAATTTCCTGGTACGTGCATATTTTTAATATTCAATTGTATATTAGTTTTTTTATTTCAGAGAAATACACACTTTTATAGGTGATACAAATTACATATTTCAATAATTAAACATATACCCAAGTAACACAAGAAACTTAGAACTCGGTGCTAATAGAAAAGCTAATGAGAATTTAAATCTGGACACCAAAACTTTTATAAGCAGTCATCATTAAGTAATTTTGCCCAAAAGGGAGTGCATGTTTGGCCTGCAAGAAGATTTTTTAGCTTATTAGCTTTTATGCGTACAAGCCACACTGGCCAGAATTGGTACTTAAGGCGGTTCTGATGCTTACAAACATTAGCATTTTATTAAGTGTAAGGGGTTAAAGAAAAGGTCCTTTATTTCTCTGACTTGTGAGAAATAAAGGACCTTTTCTTTAACCCCTTACACTTAATCCCTACTACTCACATATGGCTACCCTCACTCCAAATTAGCATTTTATTCGATTTTGTCTAAAATTAGCATTTAGTGTGAAATAAGAAGCATCCATTTAGTCACAATTTAGCTTTTGCTGCTTAGGAGACGCATGTGCAAATTACACTTCCTATGAAAATAAGCTTCTTAAAATCCAATTAGAATTATAGTGGCAATTTTGTTTTTTCTTGGCCACAACATATACCCTTTAACTGATCAAGTATGATGGTAGGCAATTTTCAATAAATGGTAAGTTCCACGTTTATAAAAATGGAAATTGTCATTGTTTAAACCACCCGAAATCTTTGTGAACCTTACTTTATTGTTAAATATTCATGAAATACTTCTTATAGATAATGAAACTATATTGTTTATTTACAAAAAACATTATTTATAAATTAAATTGTTTTGTTATCAAATGTGATATCAGAATTGATTTATTTTTCTATATTCAAAAGTTGAATAAACACAAAATTTGCATTACAATTTTAACAAAGGTATTTATTCATGTGATGGATAAAATATAATAATAATAATAATACTCTCCCTAATTCACCCCCTTACGAGTGAATTTTAGCCCCAAAAGCTGAGCTTGTCCGGGGAAAGGGACGGCTATTATTATTACTATTTGCCGTGGCGCTCCGATGCCATTTGACTCACAGGTGAGGAAAACCCGGAAAACCCCACCCACCTATTATATTCATTAAAGAAAGAAAGGAATTTTCACAAATCTGTCCGACATACCCATATATTTTTTATGAGTCTATATAATTATTTACCTACTTTTGTGTCTGTATACCGGATGTCCCATCAATGTGTAATTGTGTATTATTTGAAATACAAAGAAATACGAATGTTGTCCCTACCGTTGATGACCATATTTTGAAATTAAACCGAATATACAGGGTGATCATTGTGATATAACTGGTGAATTAAAAACAAGGCGCCACTTATGTCTTAAATTCACAACAACTTTAACGCTTTTAGCCAGATTTTATTATTTTCATGCAGTCAAATATGTTTAAGAGACTTTCGAGATTAATAAAAATATATTGCTTTTGGATTCAATTTTGCCAAAACTCGGAATTACGATTTTTATTCAGGTATGTGAACACTAAACAAAATGAAAAAAAAAATAAAAACTGATGGTATACGACACAAAAATCTAAATCTTCCGTCGACGCACTATCTCTTAAAATTGTTTGTCGGTATGAAAATAATCAAATCGTTTCAGAGTAACTGCCTACTGCCAGTTAAAATTACTGTGAATTTACGACAATAATTGCTTCAGTTTCTAAACCATGTGGTATATTATAAGTTATATTCCTAGAACGCGAAAAAGAAACAGATATCAAACCTGAATTAACATAAAGACAGTCATTTGACTGTCATTATTTGATTCGACCCTTATGGAAATAATTTAAAAATATGTTGGTAATCCTCCAGTTTACGTCGCCATTTGTTGCACATGCATCCTCATAGTTCATCATTAATTTTCTTTTCATTTGGCAGGCAAGAGAAATCTGTATTTCACAAAACAAATACTTAAAACTATTTTAAAAATAAAGAATATTTTAATTAGTTACTAAAAAAACGTCTTTGCTCTTGAAATGATACCTCGTTATTCGAGTGAACATAATGACAGAGCATGCCAAATCCGAGGCGATGTTAACTTCAGGATTACCTTCGTATTTACTATTTTTTCATATAGCACAAGTAGAAGTTGGAAAGGCTTTTGGTAGTTAGAGAGGGGGTAAATGTAAAACCACG